CGTGTGGTGGAAGCTAGGAACTTAGGTCGGCCCATGTACGGGGTGGGCCTTCCCTAAACTTTTTTCGTTTCTTTTTATTTATTATTTTCTTCTCCGTTCTTTTAGATTCCTTAAAAATACACGAAATTGCAAAAAAAACAAATTAAAAAATGTTCTCTAATTCATAAAATGTCGGTGAGTTCAAAATTTTGTTCTCTAATTGCAAAGATGTTCTTGAATTTGAAAATTTTCTCAAATTTTAAAAATGTCCATGCATTCAAGAAATGTTTGAAATTAAAAAACTTCACGAATTTCAAGAAATATTCGTGATGTTTGAAAAATCTCCATGAATTTTAAAATACTTTTACAAATTTAAAAATGTTCACCAATTTTAAAATCGTTTGCATATTTGAAAATATATGTCCGTGAATTCAATAATTGTTCATGAATTGGAAAAATTGTTCATGAATTCGGAAAAATGTTCATGGGTTGAAAACTTTTCACAAATTTCAAAAAATGTTCACACTTAAGAAGAAGAAAAGGGGAAAGAAAAAAGGAAAGAAGAAGAAGGTAAAAATAAGAAAAAAGATAAAACAGAGAAAACCGTGTGAAAAAAATGGAAAAGAAAAAACGGCTCAGGGAAGCTTCCAAAAGCCGCTGGAAAAAAACCTAGAATGGGCCGCCCATACAGAGGACATGGCGCATAGGAGGGTATGCGGTAGGTCGCTATCCAGCGACCAATATGTGCAATAGAAACTGGTAGTCTAATGTGTTCTTTTATTTTTGAGAGAAGATACGTCGTGTGGGACGTTTAGTGGGAGGCAAGCCCATCGGACTTTTATTCCGGTTGTTTTGGCTTCCAATTGAAGAGAAGCTTGTCCAACATCGTCTGAGATGGTTTGGGCATATTCAGCGCAGGCCTCCAGAAGCTTCAGTGCATAGCCGACGGCTAAAGCGTGCGGATAATATCAAGAGAGGGCGGGGTAGACCGAATTTGACATGGGAGGAGTCCGTTAAGAGAGACCTGAAGGATTGGAGTATCACCAAAGAGCTAGCTATGGACAGGGGTGCGTGGAACCTTGCTATCCATGTGCCAGAGCCATGAGTTGGTTGCGATATCTTATGGGTTTCACCTCTAGCCTACCCCAATTTGTTTGGGACTAAATGCTTGTCCAATTTGTTGTTGTTGTTGGCTTTCTACACGACCCCCCCCCCTCTGTGTGTATGTGTGTGTGTGTGTGTCTTTCTGGGAAAATTTGTTTTTTGTCACTCTAGTTTTTACCAATTTTTGGAAAAGTAGTATAGCATTTAGATGTAACCTTACAGACTTGCAACATTTGTGCTTGAAACTTACAACAAAGTTCTATGGCCATTACAAAGTATTACAGAAAATTGGAATTCATCTTACAAAATACAGTTATCATCAGATGTACAGACATCTTAGTCCAGATGTTGTCCCAGCTCCAACCCTCTCTCCTCTTTAATTCTCTGCCACATTAGAATGTTTGCTATTCCCGAGTGCATGATACCGGCTAAGATACCTCCACTATGGCCAGTCGTAGCAGCGCGAATCTTGCGTCATAACTAAAGGAAATATGCCCTAGAGGCAATAATAAAGTTATTATTTATTTCCTTATATCATGATAAATGTTTATTATGCATGCTAGAATTGTATTAACCGGAAACTTAGTACATGTGTGAATATATAGACAAACTAAGTGTCACTAGTATGCCTCTACTTGACTAGCTCGTTGAATCAAAGATGGTTAAGTTTCCTAGCCATAGACATGAGTTGTCATTTGATTAACGGGATCACATCATTAGAGAATGATGTGATTGACTTGACCCATTCCGTTAGCTTAGCACGATGATCGTTTAGTTTGTTGCTATTGCTTTGTTCATGACTTATACATGTTCCTATGACTATGAGATTATGCAACTCCGGAGTATCGGAGGAACACTTTGTATGCTACCAAACGTCACAACGTAACTGGGTGATTATAAAGGTGCTCTACAGGTGTCTCCGGTGGTACTTGTTGAGTTGGCATAGATCGAGATTAGGATTTGTCACTTCGATTGTCGGAGAGGTATCTCTGGGCCCTCTCGGTAATGCACATCACTATAAGCCTTGCAAGCATTGTGACTAATGAGTTAGTTGCGAGATGATGCATTACGGAACGAGTAAAGAGACTTGCCAGTAACGAGATTGAACTAGGTATTGAGATACCGACGATTGAATCTCGGGCAAGTAACATACCGATGACAAAGGGAACAACGTATGTTGTTATGCGGTTTGACCGATAAAAATCTTCGTAGAATATGTAGGAGCCAATATGAGCATCCAGGTTCCGCTATTGGTTATTGACCGGAGACATGTCTCGGTCATGTCTACATAGTTCTCGAACCCGTAGGGTCCGCACGCTTAACGTCCGGTGACGATTGGTATTATGAGTTTATGTGATTTGATGTACCGAAGGTTGTTCGGAGTCCCACGGACATGACGAGGAGTCTTGAAATGATCGAGCCGTAAAGATCTATATATTGGAAGGCTATATTCGGACATCGGAAAGGTTTCGAGTGATCCGGGTATTTTTCGGAGTACCAGGGGAGTTACGGGAATACAGGAGTACATATGGGCCTTGGTGGGCTTTAAGGGAAAAAGAGGAGAATCCACGAGGGCTGGTCGCACGCCCCCATGGGCCTAGTCCGAATTGGACTAGGGGAGGGGCTGCGCCCCCTCTTTCCTTCTCCTCCCCTTCTCCTTCCTTCCCCCTCCTAGTAGGACTAGGAAAGGAGGAATCCTACTCCTACTAGGAGGAGGATTCCTCCCCCCCTTGGCGCGCCTAGAGAGGCCGACCGATCTCCCCTCCCTCCTTTATATACGTGGGGAGGGGTGCACCCCATAGACACACA